TAATAAATAAGTTCCATTTAATTTTTTAAAATAAATTTATTTCTTAATCCTCTGTGAAAAGAATGAATTTCAAGTTATAAAATCATAATATAAATATCATAATAAGCTGGCAATGCGATCCCTTTTCTGTTTAGCAATGTTTGCATTTACTGCATCATTATATTCCCTTACGTCTTGCTGTTGCATCCTTCTATCATCATGCACCATGTCTTGAATGACAGAATCATTATGTAGGAAACAGAAATTATGGAGCACACAACATGCTAAAACAAAGTTTATAGCCCTGCCAATATGTTTGAGCCTCAACCCCAGCAGGCATCGCCACCGTCCCTTCAGAAGTCCAAATGCGTGTTCTATGACAATTCTTGTTGAACTATGGACAAAGTTATGGCGCCTTTGTGTCAGAGTGAGATTACCATAGTCCCTGAAAATAACAAAATAAATATATGAATTAAAAGATACATTTCCTGCAAAATATTATATGAAGTATATTTGACAGTGCACATACTTATAAGGTGCCATAAGCCATGTTCTGTTAGGGTAGGCCTTATCACCAATAAGATAATTGTTGGGATTGTAGAATAAGCTTTCAGACCCTTGCTGTGTAACTTTTTTGTAGAAAGTTGAATATCTCAAAGCACGACAGTCGTTACAAGATCCTGGTGTACCAATGGAAACGTTGGTAAATATTTTCTTAGCCGTACAGATACCTGCACAAAAAATATTCATTGGGTGCTTTCCAATTGCTTAACACATCTTGATACACACGTATACAAAACCAGTTTATTGGTTACATATTATCTAAAATATCTTGTAAGATAATATGCAACCAATAAACTGGTTTTGTGTAACACAGTGTACGCAACTGGAAAGCACACTTTGAATATGGCTTTAATTTCATTATTTGCAGATAAAAATCTCAGGACATTAGAAAAAATCACAATATCTTGCAAGATTATAGAATGATTCATCTTCCTGTCCGCGTACGAATCCTGATCATTAGCGGGAGCAAGTACAGTAACGTGACAACCGTCGATGGCACCAATCACTCCTGAAAAGTGTGGGCACTCCGTATAATTAATAGCAGTGAAAAGGCAAATAAACAGAGGATTGGTGTATAAAACACGCACAATACAAAGTAACATGCATATCTGGATACCCTGCTCTGTCATAGAATTGTTGTCTTATTGCTGCACATTCATTCTCTTCAGGCCATACTATAAATTTATGACTTAATGCACAAAGAATATCAACGATACGATGAACTTCATGATATATTGTAGAAGGGGCTACACCAAACCTGCCAGGTCCATTCTCCATTGCTGACTGACCAGCCAGATACCACAGAGCTATAAGTGTTGCTTTATCAACTGTAATAACAGGGGCATCACCACGTTGCATTTTAGGCATATATATTGGAGCAATAACATTGACAAGTTCTATAAAAGTATCCTTGCGCATCCTGTTAAAAATGGGAGCGGTGCACTTGGACACGGTGCATTTGGACACAGCCAATCACAGCACCGTGTGATTAGAGACATTTGTAAGGTCCCTTGGAACAGCGACTTGTGATTGGACTGTGTCTAATTGTTCCGTGTCCAACTGATATACACCCTTAAAAATAAGGAGAAAATTACATCGCAGACATGGATATTACAAAAAGCATAGCGTAAAGAGTACCGCATAGAATTTTTTTTATTCTTACCGAAACAGTCGGTGAAAATCGAAGTCTAAATAATACTGGATCCATTCTTCACCGCACAATTGACCTAATCTGAAATGCCGCTGCCTATCCTCTTTTCGAAACAGCAAAGAAACATTACACACTGCTCCTAACTTACTACATGCAATGATGAGTAAGTCATCATCAAAGGTCTCCTCCTCAAATAGTTGTATTGCCAAGGCTAAGGCTACATTTGTCTTCTAATTCATATTCGTCCAAATAACGCTAGCATGTTTGGTATTTTCGTAAACTAAATTAGGTTAGGTTTCCATAGTGGCAGTAAAATGTCATTTTCATTAGTGGTCGCTATTTGTGACGTCAAAGCCTAAAACACTCCTGACTAAACGCTACCGTGGTCGCGAAACGAAAAAACACCTCAACATTCGGTGTTTTTCAATTGCTTAACACATCTTGATACACACGTACACAAAACCAGTTTATTGGTCACATATTATCTAAAATATCTTGTAAGATAATATGCAACCAATAAACTGGTTTTGTGTAACACAGTGTACGCAACTGGAAAGCATCCATTATCTTCTCCACTTTTCGGGAAACTGTCGCCTAACCAGGCTTAAAGCTTACTATACCTATTGTGGCTCGGGACTAAGATTTTATAATGCATTACTAAGAGCCAACGCACAAGCACATCCGTAACATGTTACGTTACGTTAAATACTGACAATACAATGGCCATACCTGTGTACGTAAACTTAAACTTAAGGCAATGCACAAAGAAATTCGTAAACTTAACATGTTACGGATGCTTGTGCGGAGGCTCTAAAGCCCATTTTACAATTGCGTAAGCGTAGTCGCGAACGTAAGAGTCAACCAATCCGAATGTTTTATTCACTGATTGCTTTACTCTGATAGGTTGTCGTAATCACTTACAACTATGTTCACGCAATTATAGAATGGGCTTAAGGACCGTGGCACACAGAAAAACTGAAGCAGTAAGACGTAAGCAGTAAGCAAATTAACCAATCACAGTCGTTCATTCTTCTTACGGTCCAAGAATCAATGACTGTGATTGGCTGATTCGCTTACTGCTTACGTCTTATGGTTCCTGCACACAGAACGTGGTAATGCTTGCCGCGCGGCGGAAGTTCGCGCGACAGCCAATCAATATGCTGTTTTCCGTAATAACCTTCTAGCTCTTACGGAAAAACAACATATTGATTAGCTGTCGCGCGGACTTTCGCCGCGTAGCAAGCATTATCGCGTTCTATGTGCAGGAGCCATTACTACTTTAGTTTTTCTATGTGCCACCGCAGCTTTAGGCTGCGTTCAGAGAGACGTTATTTAGCGCTGTAAGCGTTCTCTGTCTTTATTCAGGAGCAAACAAGGACAGAGCACACTCATAGGCCGGTATTCATAGTCGAATCTTATTTCAAGATCGTCTTAAGTAATGTCTTAAGATGTGAATACGGCTCTGTGATTGGTTCATGACATCTTAAGACAGTACTTAAGTTGATCTTAAATATAAGATCTGACTATGAATACCGGCCATAGGGTGCATTCTTTTATTTGCAACAGATACAACCCGATGCATAATTTAATCGTTCTGTATATCCAGTTATGCACATCAAACTGCAGACTGCGTAAATCTTAACTGTTCTTTAATTTAAGTTGCAAGCAGAAACGTGCAATTGCTTGCAACTTTTAGCATCCCAATCCAAGCGGCTGCCGAAAAATTGAATCCTGAGTTCTGAATGTGCAGGAACTTTAAGTACGAATACGGTTCTTTAGTGTGCAGAAAGTAGTGCGTTTCTCAGACAGCACACAATATTTATAATAAATATTTATTTCGAATTATTTCTTAAAAATATTATATAAATATAATATAAATATTTTATATACCCTTTTAGAAATATCATACTAAGAATCATTGATAATTATTTATTTTCAGTATTAAAAATACTGGATAATAAGTAATTATCAATGATTCTTAGTATGATATTTCTATAAGGGTACATGAAGGAAAAAGTATTTAATAATTAGATTTATTGATCCCTCTCGGGTTACAATTTTCCTTACATTCTCCATCGTCTTTCTCCTCCTACCCTTCATTCGTATACCGCACCCTACTCTCCCCCTCCTCGATCCTATACACACACACACACCCCCTCCAGCTCCTCTCTCCTTATTCTTACTTACTCTATCTTAATCTAGCTTATTCTACTCTTACTCTATTTGCTTAATCTACACTTAATCTATTCTTAAACTATTCTTAAAACTATCGCCGGGACTTCCGTTTCCTCATTCACTCTGTCCCTCCCCCCACCCCCACCCTCTCCCCTCCCCCCTTCCCTCCTCATTTTCTCCACTCTCTTCATCCATTCTTCTCCCTCTCCCTCCTCTCCCAAAACCCACTCTATTGCCTCCTCCCAACTTATCTCTTCCATTCCTTCTTCCCTCCCGCATCTCTCCCACATATGTTCCCATGTCTCTTCCTCTCCCTCACATATTCTACACATTCTTTTCTCC